GGGGGGGTTACTTGTAATTAATAGAGTGATGTGAGGGGAGACAGCTATGTTTTATATGAAGACGCTTAGATAGTATAGACTACAGTGATTTGAGGGGAGACAGCAAAGATAGTAGAGATGGAACATGTGATGGAAAACAACAGTCGGAGGGGGGGGGGGACATGAGGGAAGACCACTAAGTGTAATATGGAGACACTCATATAGTAAAGACGAGGCTAAAGGAGAGGTAGCTAGGGTAGACAGAGTAAAAGTGTGAGAGACAGTGTAAGGGTGGCAGGAAAGACAGGTATTGTAATAGTAACAGGGATATTTGTAACAAGCCACTGGGAATTTGAAGGGGGTGGGGCATAGCAGTGTGATACATGTACCTTAAGCTATAGAGAATATTGTCATGTGATGACAGAAATGAGAGTGAGCATGGGTAATGATAGATCTGAACAAAACATTGTTTTTATGACCCCTTCCCCTCAACACACATGAAAATAGGAGGTATTTAGTTTTACCAATATAGGTCTGGTCCCACCTCCATTCTACTCGCTTTATTTCAGATTTTTCATCGAAGTTTATATAAAGGTAATTTAGTGTGATCTAAGAAGAGTTTGCATTTCAGTGTCCCAACATCATTGCCAAGCCTATGTCACTATCTATTTGTGTTTATAAGTCAACCATTGGTATTTTTGTCAACAGATTCATTGCCTTCAGGATTTTGGGGGCTAAGGGGTGCCAGCTGAGCATTCAGGTCTTGACAGTTTTCAAGTTTTCTTCCCTTTATGGGGCAATTTTGAGGCAAGTTTCCCAATCTGATCACAATACCAATAACGGTAAATTTCTTAATTTTTTTGAATTTCGATTGAACATTTCCTTTCTTTCATCCTATTTAAACACACAATATGCTGGGAAAAAAACCTGTCCTGTCTTATTTGGTCTCTAATTTTGATGTTGTAAGCAAAATATCCCACCATTAATTTTCACAAGTTTAAAAATATTACACTAGTCAGGAATCATGGGGAAAAAATAATGATGATGAAAAAAAAAAAAAATTGAAGAAAGAAAGATTTCAAACTATGCTAGTGATTAGAAAGTATCAGGAAAATTGCTCTTGTAGATTTGTTTCGTAAGTAGTCATAAAGGAAGAATATGTCTTCATATTTACTCAAAAAATTACTTGATGACTCATGCAGTGATGGGAGTTAAGGTAATAGGTCACCATTTCTCAGTAGAATTTCTTCAAATTTTATAGTTATATTGCTTTGAAGTAAGGAAAATTTTCTACCACAAAAAAAATAAAGGTTGTCTGAATTTTAAGGATTTTAAATGGAAATTTATGTAAAAAGCAGTGAATTTTGAAAAAAAAATGAAAGACACAATTCTTTGCAAAATAATGTCAATAACAATGATACTGACATAGATTAGTATTGCATTAATGTATATCAATTTAATAAATGCTGAAATTGTGTAAAATTAATTACCTATAAACGACTAAAAATTGACATTTTATGATAAAACCATATACACATAGTAATTGCATGTATGAGTTATCGTTCTTGAAAAACTTCACAGTAGTGAAATAGGTAGCCGGTTTCCTGAAGTACAGAAAAATGGACAAATGTGACTCATTGATTAAAAAACAACTGAATTAATGCCTGGATTGCTTTGAAATACTTTAATATTGAGAGAACACACTGTTCTGTCAATAACAAACATACAATATTCATCAGTTAAATATTAAACATTAGATTATGCGGAAATTGTGATACTGTCTCCCTACATTGGATTTTCAACTAGGGATGTACTTCCTATTTCCGTTTATCAATACACTCCTATGACCTTCACATGATGTAGTTAAAAATAACGAAAATCAGTTGAACATTTTGAATCTGAAAAATCAAGAAATCAAAAAAACGTATTTGACCCAAAAGGCACACTTGGCACTAAGCAATTTGAAAATTCAAGAAATCCGTAATTGTAGAATTTGCCTTAAATGCTGAAAAAATACCCAGAATAGACACATTGTTTTCCATGTAAGTCAGTAAGTTACGCTGAAGTGATTGGACATTCAGACTAGACAAAATGATAGGTGGAACTTATAAGAGATTGGATGCTCGCAGCAGTTTGACTTGGTAAGTGGGATAGACTACATGTACGATATAGCACATCAAAAAAGCACACTTTTTAATAGCTTGATATTGCAATTTTTCTGCATCATACTTTACCTCTCTGGTATAGCCACTTACAGAAGTATGTATTGTTGATCTCGTGCAATGGTTTGTGCTGCTATTCTACTTCAAATACCATTAAAAAAGATCGTAAGATTTTGAACAGCTTGAGTTCTTTCTTGATCTGGACGATAGCATTTGTGTATTTCACAAATTTTCAAATGTGTGTGTGTTATAATATATGCACCGGCATTGCAACCAACAGTTTAACAGTTTCAGTGATTATATTAAGAGATATGATTTTTGTGTGTAGGCATCATCCAGACCTGTTAACGTACATACAGTCATACTGCTGTACACACTCGATTCATTTGTACAGCAATTCAATTCACATTAAGATAAACATGTGAATCTACATAAAGCACCATGTATCTACATCTTTCAGCAGACTGAAGCTTATGTAACCTGCTGCCATGGAAAAACACATTTTGTTTACAGTATTGATTCTAATAAACA